TTCACTAACTTAGAAGTTTGAGAAAATCAAAGAAAAGCAGTGTAGATGAAAGCTGAGCCAATTCCTAATGTGACTGGACTGGACCTTAGTTTTTATTGATAAACTTCAGCATACATCCCTCACTCAGACCATAGTCTGGAAGAATACTTTGCCCTGGAGTAACTGAGCCAAACAGATCAAGTTAGTAGTAAGAGATTTTGTATCAGATTTTGTAAGTAGTGCCTTTTGTGAGTTGGGGAAAAGAGTAACTGGTAGAAAACAAAAATTTACCTTTAAGGAATAGTTAACATAATAGTTGAGGACAAGGATGTCTGAAATCTTAAACTTAAATATTTTTATTTTTAAATTTCCTGACCTGATATATTTTGATTAAATAAAAGTTGTATTTATAAAAATGTAAACATCCACTTGAATTACTTTGATCCCAATAAAACAGTAGTTATGAGAGATCATTAGAAAGAAACATTGACATCATCAATAGTAATGATAATAATCACTGATAACATTTCCTGGGTGCTTGCTGTATGCTGAGTGCTTTGTAGATGTTAACTCTTTAATCCTTTAAGTCAGAGGTGCTCCTATATCAATGTTCCCTGAAAAGTGTCAAACTTTAATCTGAAATTAGGGTGCATTATATAATGTTTAGAAATAATATTGACACACAAATAGAAAAAAATTGAGAATGAGCTATATATTCAAAAATAACGTTTCATAGCCTCTGTACAAATATATATATAGCACTTACATATAAAATGAAAGTTCCCGAATAGCCATGGCAGTCTTGAGAAAGAAGTACAAAGTTGGAGGGATCACAATACCAGATGTCATGTAATACTACAAAGCCAGTGTAATCAGAACAGCCTGGTACTGGCACAAGAACAGACATATAGAGCAGTGGAACAGAACAGAGAACCCAGAAATTTACCCACACCATTATGGTCAATTAATATTTGACAAAGGAGGCAAGAACATACAATGGAGTAAATACAGTCTCTTCAACAAATAGTGATGGGAAAATTGGACAGGTACATGCAAAAAAATGAAACTAGACCACTAACTTACACTACACACAAAAATAAACTCAAAATGGATAAAAGACTTAAATGTAAGACGTGAAACCATAAAAATCTTAGAAAACGGAGGCAGCAAAATCTTACATTTCTCATAGTAATATGTTTGCTGACACATCTCCCAGGGCAGGAGAAACAAAGGAGAAAATAAACAAATGGGACTACATCAAAATAAAAAGCTTCTGCACAGCAAAATAAATCATCAACAAAACAAAAAGGGAGCCCACTGTATGGGAGAACATATTTGCCAATGACACATCTGATAAAGGGTTAATATCCAAAATATATAAGGAGCTCATACAACTTAACAAAAGGAAGACAGACAATCCAATTAAAAAGTGGACAAAGGACCTAAATAGACACTTCTCTAAAGAGGACATACAGATGGCTAAGAAACATGAAAAAATGTTCAACGTCGCTAATCAATAGAGAAATGCAAATTAAAACCACAATGAGATATCACTTCACACCTGTCAGAATGGCTACCATCAGCAAATCAAGGAAGGGCAAGTGCTGGCGAGGTGTAGAGAAAAGGGGACCCTAGTACACTGCTGGTGGGAATGCAGACTGGTGCAGCTACTATGGAAAACAGTATGGAGTTTCCTCAAAAAATGAAAAATTGACCTGCCATTTGACCCAGTGATCCCACTTCTAGGAATATATCCTAAGAAACCTGAAACACCAATCACAAAGAACTTATGTCCCCCTATGTTCATAGCAGTGCATGCAATTTACAATAGCCAAGATCTAGAAACACCCCCTCAGTAGATGAGTGGATAAAAAAGCTGTGGTACATTTACACTGTGGAATACTATGCAGCTGAAAAAAAGAAGGATCGCTTGTTCTTTGTGATAGCATGGAGGGAATTGTAGAATATTATGGTAAGTGAAATAAGACAGCCAGAGAAAGACAAATACCACATAATCTCACTTATAATGTAGAATGTAAAAAAGTAAACTGATGTACAAAGTGGATCCAGAGACAGAGAAGCATGGAACAGACTGAGGGATCTCAGAGGGAAAGTGGGGATGGGGGAGTCAGTGGGGAGAGATTAATCAAAGAACTTACATGTTTATAAGCGTAACCCATGGACACAGACATTGGTCTGGGGAAGGACTGGGGGTGGGGTGGATGCGGGGTGGAGGGGATCAATGGGGGTAAAAAGGNAGTGGGGATGGGGGAGTCAGTGGGGAGAGATTAATCAAAGAACTTACATGTTTATAAGCGTAACCCATGGACACAGACATTGGTCTGGGGAAGGACTGGGGGTGGGGTGGATGCGGGGTGGAGGGGATCAATGGGGGTAAAAAGGGGACATCTGTAATATTTCAACAATAAAGATAAACTTTAAAAAGAAAAAGAAAATGCCAAAATAAAAAACACAAAAAAACCCCGAGAAACTTTTTTTTTAAAGGAATACTACTAGAGAGGAGAAAAGGTATAACTAAAAAATTTTTTTAAAAGTTTAAAAATAAACTCATGTTTAATACATTGGTATATACGTACACACATATATACATTTTATAAGATGAAATAAACTTTATTTTTAAAAGTTTTAAATTTATAGAAAAATTGCAAAGATAGTACTGAGTTGCCATATGCCTGCATCCAATTATTAACATCTTAATTAGTATGTCACACTTGTTATAATTAATGAGCTAATATTAATAGTGAACTGATTTCCATATTTTACTGATATTTCCTTAATTTTTATGTAATGTCCTTATTATGTTCCAGGATCCCATCTCAGCATTATATCTCTGGTTTCTCTTGGATGTGACAGTTTCTCAGACTTTGCTTGTCTGGATGTCCTTGACAGTTTTGAGGAGTACTGGTCAATTATTTTGAGGAATATCCCTCAATTGGGATTTGTTTCATCCCTTCCACCCCCAGATTAGACCAGGGTTATGGGTTTTTAGGAGGAAGATCATGGAGATAAAGTGCCATTTTCATCACATCATATCAAGGATACATAATTGATCACCTGCTAAAGTAGTATTTATCAGTTTTTGCACTCTAAAGTTCATCCTGCATTCCCCCCTTTTCCATACTTTTCTTTTTGAACGAGCTCACTATGCACAGCCCACACTTAAGGAGTGAGATATTGTACTTCACCTCCTCAAGGTTGGCATACTATTGGGAATTTTCTGTAGGAGAAATCTGTCTATTCCTATTCCCGGCACCCTCCCCATTTATGTACTTAATCATTTACTTATATTAGTATTGATTCATGGATATTTATTTTATATTTTGTGTTATAATCCATACTTTATTTGATGTGTTTTTCTTGCCCAATAAAATGTTGTGGAGAACTTTTAAAGTCAATAGAGGTGAACATGACATCTTTTAGAGGTTATATATTATGTATTTAATCAGTCCTCTACTGATGCACATTTTTGCTTCCCCTATTTTCTTTCTTCCAACAATAATGGAATAATATCCTTGTACATTCATTTTTGTGTGCACTTGTGTGACTCTCCTTAGTTTATTATTCTAACCCCATCCCTAGGACACATTATACTTGAGCTGTGTTCCCTGCTCCTCAAGCACGCCTTGCTTTCCTCAGCTTACACTATATTTTCTCAACCTAAAATGCTCTTCCCCTGTCTTTGCCTGCTGAAGTTCCCTGTTTTTGTTTTGTTTTTTGTTTTTTAATCCTCACCTGAGGATATTTTTTTCCATTGCTTTTTAGAGAGAATGGAAGGGAGGGGGAAAGAGAGAGAAACATCACTGTGTTTCTCTCACGTGATTGGTTGCCCCAGACTGGCCTGGGAATTGAACCTGGGTAGGTGCCCTTGACCGGGAATCAGACCCCAACTGTGACCCTTCCCTGGGCAGGCCTATGCTCTAACCACTGAGCAACACCGGTCAGGGCTGCAGTTCCCTGTTTGATTCAGAGCTCAGCTCAAAAGGCTGCTTGCTGTAGAAGGTCTTCTCTAGTGTTTCAAATATAATTCAGTGGTTCCATTCCACTTCTCTTTGTTGAACATGCATTATAGCACTTATCATCTGAGCCTCCTATTCTATCCCAGGGATTTTTCCTACTAGTTTATGAAGGGTAGAGGCAGAAAAGTGATCAATCACACTCATCTCTGTATTCCATCACAGTGACGGGCCCATGAAATAACTAGCATATTTTGACTTTGAAATGAATATGAGAAATTGAGAAGTTTGTTCAATATCGCATAGCTAATTACTCCTCTTTTCCTACATTGTTGTACCATACTGCAGGGAGACAGAGAAGTTGCATAAAGTGTTAGTTTTTACATGCAAACAATTGTACTGTAGTTTAAAAGTAATTTTTCTAGCTGTCTGTCAAAAATGTTTATTTGAAGACTTTGGTATCACAGTCTGTGTCTTCCCAAATGTGCCACACTTCAATGTGCCAAGTATTCATAGGAAATTGTATATAAATGCAGGAGAAATGAAATAATTAAATACGGCCTCTGATCCTTCCGACTCTCTTTTTAAGTAAGCAGGTGGCATAATGTATCTAACATGTTGTAATTAGTAATTAGAGGTGAGTGCCAAAAAACAAAACAGAGACAATGTTTGGTTGTGAGGCTCTCAGTGAGCTGAGACTGCAGATCCCACACTGCTGCCCTGTGGACCCACCAGCCTGCACCTAGGAGACGCGCTCTTTCCGTTAACACTTTGAGGCCCAGTGACCTACACATCTGTGACCCGGCGCTGGGTAGGAGGAGGCGCCGCAGTAGGCGCGCGCATTTACAGCCACCCGCGGGCACCTGGGTCCGCGCTCCGCGGGGGGTGAAGGGGCGGCCCCGCCTCCGCCCTTCTGAAGCCCAATCATCTGGAGACCCTGGGCACGTCCCGCTACTGGCCACGCCTCCAGCCGGCAGGGCGGGGGGCGTCTTTAAGAGCCTGCCGCCCGGCCCGGGCTCTAGGGGTGCGGGGCTGTGGACTGGAAGGACTGAGTCCTGAACCCTGAGGCTCCTCCGCGCAGCCGCTTTTCTCGCGGCAGCCTCCGCGCCGTACGCCGCCTGCCCACCCGGGGCACCGCTGCCCTCGCCCCCGTCTCTCTTGCTTGCCCGCCGGGCTGTGGGCTGCTCCTCTGGGAGCCCGCCGGGAACTCGCGCTCCCGCGGCGCCCGACGGGGCCGGCTGGGGCCATGGTGCCCTCTCCCGCGGACCCCGCCGCCGCTAAGGGGACGAGCGAGACAGAGTCGCTCGGCCCCGCGCCCTTGGGGGCTGCTCCTCTGCCCGGCCTGGGACCGTCAGACGGTCCCGAGGCGGCCGCCGAGAAGGTAGAAGTAGAGGTAGACTTGGCGGAGCCGGCGGGCGCAGAGCCCCCTCAGCCTCCCGAGGGCGGCTGGGGCTGGCTGGTGATGCTGGCGGCCATGTGGTGCAACGGGTCGGTGTTTGGCATCCAGAACGCCTGCGGGGTGCTCTTCGTGTCCATGCTGAAGACCTTCGGGTCCAAGGACGATGACCAGATGGTATTCAAGACAGGTGAGGCGCAGCGCCCGCCGCGGCCAGCCGGGGGAACAGGCGCGGCCCCCCAACGCATTCCGTCTGCGAAGTGTGGCTCCCTGCCCGCGTGTGCGCCTCGGGGAGTCTCCGTGTGCCTAGCTTTTTTGGGGGGAGCGAGGCACTGTGCTAAATACAGAAAGTAAAGGGGGCAGCCAGATTGGGGACTGGGAAGAGGAAGGCGAGAGTTTGCCTTTTCCTGTTGTGTTCTTTGTCGTACTTAAAGATTTACCAAACTAGATGAAAAAGGTGCAGAGTCAACGTTTTCTCCCCTATAGAGCGCTATTACTGATGAGGGAAAAAACAAGTTCAAGACCTTCTGTATAACTCTCTTACATACATTTTTCACTTTATCCTGCAAGCAGGCGTTGCCAGCCCCATTTAGGTGAGCAAACTGAAACTTGGTGAAATAAAGTGTCTTGGTGAGTAGCAGAATGGAGATAAAACACACATGACTTAAAGGGCTAAGTGATTTACATTGCTAAATCAGACTCCCTCCCTGCCATTTGGGGAACTTTGTATGATTAATAGTCTTTTTTAAACCTTAATTTTCTGTTATTTCTAGAGTGAATATTCCTTAGGTCTTTAGTGTACATCTAATGAATATACAACTGTTATAACAAATTCTAAGGCGGAGGTAATGTTGAGAGTTTTTAAATCTTACATAAATAGTATTAACCTATATGTATCATTCTGTAATTTGCTTATCTTTTATCCTGTGTCACGTCTGTGATTTATCCATGTAAATACCTCAGTTTGAGCTGGTAGCTTAAATTTCTTGTTTTAACTCATGGTTTTCCATTATATGACTATATTATACTTTATTTATGCATTTTCCCTTTATTAGACATTTAGATTACTTCCAAACTTACTATAAACAACGCTGCAATGAATATTTTTGTACATTGTCTCCTTGCACATGTATTAAATAAGGTACCATATTTACCCTGGAATTTCTGTTCCATAAATAGCTCTTGAAGCTGCTGTGTTATGCAGTCACAGGGGTAGGTACAAAAGTGTTAAAAATGCAGTATCATATACTTACTTTGTAAGGATGGCTACCATTAAAAAGTTTAGCAGGATAGATACGCATATGTAATTGTAAACAAAAATAATTTTGTGTCTTTTCTGTGTGAGTATCAGGTATCTGGGAGGGAGAAGCTCAAGCTCAAGTTGACAGTTACCATTTTAAGACTAGTCCCTTCAGCATTTAGCATTTTCTTGCCTGGGTTTAGAGATTTTTAATGCATTCAGAACAGCAAGACAACAGCCTTAACTTTATCACTGGTTTTGCAAATACAGTTAAGTTATCCATTGGTGTGTGTGTGTGTGTGTGTGTGTGTTTAACTCCTTCCTTCCTTCATTCTTTTGAGATAGTAAGGAAATGCTGGAGAAAGACTATAGTTTTGACAGGGATCAGAGTCTTGCAGTGTTGAAGCCTCTACCTACCAAGTTCCTACTGGCTACAATATCCCAGTACTGGATAGCAAAAGGTGAGGGAAGGGACAGGACCTCTCTTGAACTTTTATAAAATTTTATTTTTTTTAACCACTGGGGACTTTTATTGCCTTTGCTGTGGGGCTTTTTTTCTTTTTTTCTTTAATATGTTTTTAGTGACTACAGAGAGAAGAAGGGAGAGGTAGAGAGAGGTAGAAACATCAGTGATGAGAGAATCATCAATTGGCTGCCTCCTGCATGCCCCCAACTGGGGAATTGAGCCTGAACCCAGGCATGGGCCCTGACTGGGACTAGAACCATGACCTCCTGGTTCATAGGTCGACACTCAACCACTGAGCCATGAGGGCCGGACTCTTAAACCTTTTGAAACTCAATGTTTTCAGTTTTCATGAATATCTTTTTCCATTTACTCAGTTAAATTCTTGACAGCTTTCAGTCAGGTCTGAGGATGTGGGTGTGTGTATCATATAAACAGTTATGCCAGTTAAATACTGAAGATCTTTGTGCTTATGCATGACTGCCATGTATGGTTGTGCCCTTGCACAGAGGTACCCAACTCAGAATAAGTGGAGACAGAAAACCAGCCTGTGTACTGGGTGCCCTTTAATTCCTACAAAGGGGCCTTATGCACTTGTAATGGCCCTGTGTAAAACAGCAGCTTGATTGAACGTTGGCCTTTATTTGGATGCTATGCAATACATGTACAACAGATACATCCTGAAAAAAGGATGACAAGATAGTTATTGGGCCAGTTAATATTGAGATACCCATTAGCCCCCTCCCCAACAGGTTTTTCATTGAGTCCATCATCTCTAAAAGGCACTGAAGTATTTGAGAATATCTGTTTTGAAGTTTGGCTTTTCCAGTAATGCTGAGTCATCTGCGATCAAGAACATATGCAAGCTTCAAGTACAATGCAAAAAATATCTAGAATTGTTTAAAGCTTTTATTTTTCAATGTTTTGGTCCATTTCCTGTTACCCTATTCATGATTGATAATCCCAGCATTAGAGGGGAGTTAAGTGTCTCCATGTTTTCATTAGCTTCTTCATAGTGATTAGTCCAAGGTACATAGGGAGGTTGTGGTAAAATGGGAACTGAGGTTTTCAAATGATGGTTCATATTTCTTGAGAACTTCCTATGTGCCAGCCCAGTGCTAAGCACTTTATATGCATTCTTTTTTTAAAAGTTTTCTAAAATTTTTATTAATTTTAGAGAGAGAGGAAGGGACAGGGAGAGAAAGAGAAACATCTATTGGTTGCCTCCCAAAACCAGGACCAAACCCGCAACCTGAGTGTGTGTACTGACTGGGAATCGAACTCATGACCTTTTGGTGCACAGGACGATGCTTAACCAATTGAGCCACACTGGCCAGGGCTACATGCATTCTTATTTAAACCTTACTACAATGCCATGGGAGAGGCTGTATTTGATATCTTTCTTTTCAGATGTGGAAACTCAGGTTTGCAGAGTTTAAGTAAGCAGTGAAGCCAGGAATCTAACTCAGGTTTATCTGATTTAACAATTGATCATATTGCATTGGCTAGATAATATTTTGCTAATTCAGTGTTCTTTATGTTGCTACACCAGGAATGTTAAAAAAGAAGTCTGAAAGATCACGGTCCCTGTTTCTTGATCTTACTTTGCTGTCAATAAACGGTAGCCAATTGTTAATGTCTCATGGAAGTAGATTTTTGAAGTGTAAAGAGACTTCCATGAAGAAACAAGATAATCTCATATGGCATTCAAACAAAAGTCCGGGGTTTCTTTTGAAGAACCATGCTCCTTTAGTCTGATCCATAGCAGGACAATGTTTCCAGGAAGAACTGAAGAGCATCTTTCTCAGGCTCACTTTCTCCTCTTCACAGCTCTCTTGACTCTTATGTAACTGATGATCCACCCAAAATTTCTTAGGAAAGGCCTGAAGAAATTCATTCACACTAAGATACAAGTGAGTTACACACCCTAATGTTACTCCTCATTCATTCTACAAGTATCATTCATTACCAAGTATCTGACACCCTCTGTGCAGGGCACTGGAGATGGGAACTGAGAGAGACAGCTGTTCCCAAGGAGCTTTAGATCTGCTGTGAGGCACAAACAAGTAAAAGACAGATCAAATACTACCCTGAGGCATTTGCAGTATACCAGGCAGAAATTCTAAGGAAATTCCAGGGAATGGTGGGGGCTGGGAAAGGCATTTTTGATGGCCTCTTTCTTTATGATAATAAATCTCACTTTGTGAAATTAAACTTTGGAAAGAGAAGCAACCTGAACTACAAGTTAGGCAGTAGAACCAATGAGTGCATCACCGCCGCATTATGTTATTGCGGCTGCCAATGACATGGTGCCCAGAGATATGCCTTGCACATATTGCTGCATCAGGTATGTCTGTCAGAGGGAGCAAGCTGAGCCTGAGTTGTCTCTTTTCAGTTAATTTTTTACTTGTTCGTATGTGCTTGTTTCTTGCCTGTATGGAGGGAAATCAGACACTTTTGGGAGAACTAAAACAGACACTACAATCAACTGGAACATTGTTTTCTCTTAGAAATCACAATTTTGCTGGACATTGCAAAATTCATTTTTAGTTCCTTCATGGAACTGAGAGAGTGTAGGGTTCTTTCACTTTCCTGATGCAGTGCCCTGGACACACACTGGGATATTAGGGTATTAATCTAGTTTACTTGCCTGCTTTTTTTCCTGTGGAAAGAAAAACATTTTAATGGTATATGGATTTTAAAAGTACCTATTTAAAACAAGTGTGTTTTCAGAATCAGTATTTAGGGTAGTTAATTATATCCTTTTGAAGAAATTATGTCTTTGTGGTCCAGAGGCTTGGTCAATAAGACCCCTACTTCTTTTAGTAATTCCCAAAATGTGATCTTTAATAGCCTTTCTTTAAAGTAATGGTCTGTGGTTAAATAAGTTTTGGAAACACAGCACATTATCCTTCTCTCTTGGATATTTAAAGTAAAAAATCAAAGTATTAAAAATTCAGTAGTTTTAAAGAGAAAAGTAGATTATTGAAAAGGTTTCAAAAGGGCTACTCTGGCAACAGTCTTAAATGGAACTACCTTCCCTGTAAGGAGGTAGATTGCTCTTTAAGATGGTTATAATCATAAAGTAGGATTTTCAATAGCACTTAGGGAGTAATGCATCTTGCGACACCCCTCAATATAGTCTTACTAGCACCTCTGAAACTTCAAGTCAGTTAGTGGGTCCTGAAGGTTAAAAAAAAAAGTTTTCACGTTTACAGTTAAGCTGATATTTACGTGCAGCAGCTTTGTGCTACACCTAAACTTATAGGAGGTTGTGGCTATAGTTCAGAATGGAACTGATGTGTCTGGCCTTTATGATAAGGGCTTTTTTTTTTTTTTTTTTTAATGGT